GCCACGAAGTGTGTCACAGTGGAAAAAGCTCTATGGAGAAAATTATTTACTTGTCGCGAAAATGTGTGGCACGAATGTGTTGTACGCCGTGTACATGGTGTAGAACAGCCAGAACTGAGTTCTTACACGCCAGAACTGAATTTTTCATATAGTTATAGCTTCCTTTTATTGTAACTGTTGTTTGCTGGACATCCTGGCACGCTACGTGACAATGCGTTGACCATGAAGCCCAGACGACCCAAGCAGCCTTTTTGCCAAAGCTTGCTCGTGACACTCCTGTTGAGCTCAGAGCAGGCGTTGCTAATATTAATGTTGCTCCAGAGGTCTTGGCTGCTAGAGCCGAGCGTGAAAACGCGATGGCAGTTCAAATTGCCCGGCAGCGTGCCGAAGCAGCCGCTGAGGCGGGCAACGCCATCATGGAGGAGGTTGTTTCTGTTCTTCTGCGTAAACATATAGTAACCGATATGTACAGCAGTTTGGGAGTTTTGATGCTGTCGCTCCTTGTTGTGGCTTCCCTGGAGCCCCGCGAAATGTGTGTTCATGTAAACAAATGTGTGCCATAAAAACTGACAGCCCTCGCGAATTGGTGTAACAAAACGAAAAATTCCAGCTATATTTTTGGGGTACCCGCGAAAGGTGTGGCGCGAACCTTTCGTATCAGTACGGTAGCGCTTTCGCAACCGATGCAAGGGCTGCTGAGCTCCGAGGTCCAACTACTGTTTAAGATCTATAGTTGTGAGCCTCCTTTCTGCTGACCGCTCGTTCGTGCGTTGCGGTGTTGGATGCGAGAGTGCTGAAGCACAAAAAGGTCTGAAGGACGGCTACACGCTGTATGCTGAGGCAGGGTTTACGTTTGACCAAAGTTTAAGAGAGGTCAAGTTCTTGGGCTCAGTTCAGCAATGTCGAAGTCCTTGTCCTTGCAGCGCTCGCCGAGCACAACCAGCTCCCTGAACATCGTGGAGCTGAGCGACGGGATGGCGGTGATTGAGTCCAACAGCTCTCCAGACTCCGTGGTGGCCGCCTGAGCAGGGAAGAGCAGGCGGCGACAGGTAGCAAGTATGTTTTGTGTAGGGCAGCAGTACAAGTTCGTGTCCTCTAGCCTCGCACGGTCCAGTCTCCTGTGTCCCAGAAACCCTTCCGATTCTGTGTCACCGCAGCACCCCGCATGCCTTGAAAACCGACAGACACCTGGGTGAGCGCCTCAAACGCCCACTTCTCCAGGTGTGCACCTGAACACAACTTCTGCATGTATTGGCCCAAGCCTCTAGGGCCTCCTGGTTGGTGAACATGTGCTACTCAGAAGGTATTCCTGATGTACATGGGCATGTGTTGGCATTACACCCATACCTGCAGCACCTGAGCAAATAGCGGGTTATCCAGATACAGCCTGCCGTTTCGCTCGGTGGTGAAGTTGGCCAGCAGCGCCTTGAACACCAGCTGGAGCTTGGCGTGCTCCACTCCAGCCATTGTGTCCACCAGCTCGCGCAGGAGCAGCACCTGTGAAGTAGGCTGGCCCAGCACTTGCAGTACCATGCGCATGTCTGCCAGCACCTGAATAGGGATCACATGCGGCAATCAGGGATTGCTAGTCGAAACCGTCTGGCTCCACCAGCTGCCGTCAACACGCAAGCAGCACACTCTTTCACAGCCAGCGCCTGGACATGCTTTGCAC